CCTTGGCTTGTGGCCCCTCCTCTGTCTTCAAGACCAGGAGTGTAGCATCTTCAAACCGGTCCCCTGCCTGTGTCCCTCTCACCTATAAGGACCCCTATGATTGCACTGGGCCCACCTAGATCATCCAGGAGAATCTGCCTGTCCCCAAATCCTTGATTTCGTCACATTTGTCAAGTTCCCTTGGTTGTGTAAGGTAATACATTCAACAGGTTCCTGGGATCAGGATGTGGACATCTGGGGGGCCATTATTCTGCCTATCGTGAGTGGAAACTAGAAAAATGACCAGTATATGCCAAAGGATAAGCAAGAATGAACTGGAACCTTCCCACTGCCCGCAGACACCCCCCACTCCCCTGGAAGCTCTGCGGCGCACTGTGGAAGAGTGGCCCCAACCTGTCTGGCATCACCAACCTCTTTTATTTTCTCTCCCCCAGAAATCGCTGTTGAAAAGGATCTTTGCCTCCCTGACACAGTGCATCATCAATGATTTATGCTTCCTGCATTTACTGTTCTTTCCTCAGGCAGACACACCTACCCCTCCAGCCTCTACTGACAAGACAGCCAGCAGGCTTACCCGGCTGAGTCAAAAAGACCTCAGCCAAAGGCACAGACGGTGGATGCCCTGGTCACTCGGGAGGCGTGACCCCGGAGAACACAAGGCTGCTACCGCGGCTTAGGAAATTCTAATCACGCGGGCTGGGGCCACAGCTAAGGGCCAGGAGCACCGTGAAGACAGTAACAACGTAATAAAAAAAGCGTAGATATTAAGTCAGTGCGCTCCAATATCTAATAGCTTCTCCAGCCTGTCTCAAGTGAGCTCCTCGTCCTTCCTGTGCAAGCCGCCCGTCCTCTAGTCTGCCATGTCACACCCAATCCCCAGGAAATCCTGCCGGCTCTCCCTTCCAAACAAATCTACTGGTTATTCATTACCAAGGGGAAAAGGAAAGGTTCATTCAGTGGTCACCACCTTAACCATGCGATCCAAGTCACCATCACAAATGACGGAATAAACAGACCTCAGGAGCCCCCGAGGCCATGTCCTCAGCACACACCATCACGTCTGTGGGGTTCCTGCCAAAGATGCTCGTTGTGAATCCAATCAGAGGAAGCGATCAGAAAACTCCAGACTGGGGGACACTCTATGGGACAACTGGCCCAGGCTCTTCCAAATGTCAATGTCATGAAAAATCAGAAAGGAGAGGGATACTGCTATAGAGCAGGGTCAGCAAACATTTCCCATAAAGGGCCACAGAGTAAATATTTTAGATTTGTGGGCCATACAAACCCAAGTCTGCAGCCACAGACAACAGGCAAACAAAATGGGTGTGGCTGTGTTCCAATAAAACTTTATTTACAAAGACAGGCAGTGGGCCTGCTGTAGATTAAGATACTAAAGAGGCATAATAATCAAATGCAGTGCATGATCCTTGAGTGGACCCCATTATTAAATTAAAAATAATAATAATAAACACTAAAAAAGACATTTTGGGGGACAATTGGAGAAATCAGAATATGAGCTACATATTAAATAATAAAATTATCAATATTATTGTTATCAATGTTAAATTTCTCAGATATGATATTGGTACTGTTATACAGAATGTCTTTGTTCTTAGGAGGTACAGGCTGAAATATTTAGGAGTGAAGTGTCATGTTCACAACTTATTTTCAAATTGTTCAGGAAAAACAGCGTGTATATGTATGTACATGCATACATATACGAGAGCGAAGACAAAGCAAATTTGTGGAAGGCTAATAAGTGATGAACTAGGTGGTAAAGGGTATGCAATTGATGACTATGCCATTCTTTCTTTCAACTTTTTTGCCGGTTTGAAATTTTGAAAAGAAGAAGTTGGGGGGGGCCAGCCTGGTGGCATAGTGGTTAAGTTCGTGCGCTCCACTTCAGCAGCCCAGGTTCTGGGTTCAGATCCCAGGCACGGACCCACACCACTCATCAACCATGCTATGGCGGTGTCCCACATATAAACTGGAGGAAGAACGGCACAGATGTTAGCTCAGGGCTACTCTTCCTCAGCAAAAACAAAGAAGTTGGGGGAAAAACACCTCCAGAATCTGACCCCTCCTCCCAACTCACCTCCCACCTGGACTACTGTAGTTGAATCCTCCCTGCACCGACCCTCACCCTGTGATTGCCAAAAGGATCCTATTAAAATATAACTCAGGGCCTGCCCGGTGGCGCAAGCGGTTAAGTGCGTGTGCTCCGCTTCGGCGGCCTGGGGTTCACGGGTTTGGATCCCGGGCGCGCACCAATGCAGCACGTGTCAGGCCATGCTGTGGTGGCATCCCACATAAAGTGGAGGAGGATGGGCACGGATGTTAGCTCAGGGCCAGTCTTCCTCAGCAAAAAAGAGGAGGATTGGCATCGGACGTTAGCTCAGGGCTGATCTTCCTCAATAAAAAAAAAAAAAAATATATATATATATATCTATAACTCAGATCCTGTCCCTCCTCTGCTCAGACCCTCCAGTGAGTCCCATCCACCTGAGTAAAGCCACAGCATTTACTGTGGCCCACAGGCCCTGCACGATCTGCCCCCCTTTCCCATCACCACCAGTTTCTTCTCTGCCCTCAGTCTCCACTCAGTCTCTTCACTCAGCCACATCGGCCTCCTCACTGTTTGTCAAACATGCCAGGCATAGTCTCACCTCAGGACCTCTGCAAGTGCAGAAACTTTGGGTTAGAATGCTCTTCCCCCAGACACCTGCACTGCTTGCTCCCTCGTCTCCTTCTCATATTTTCAGTGAGGTCTCCCTGATAATCATCAGAACTTACAACCTGCCTCCAAATACTCCCCCTTCTGCATCTCTGATGTTTTCTTCAGAGCAATTATTGCTATCTAAGATACTTCATATTTTAACTATTTACTTTGTTTACTGTCTGGCTTCCCCCCCAAGAATGTAAGGGCCCTGAGAACAAGATTTTTTGCCTTTTCTCCTCTGCTGTATCCACAACATCTACACAACAGCCACATGTCAGTGCCAAGCACTGACCTAACTTTTTATATCCATTTACTCCTCACAAAAACGCAAAAAGTGTTGTTTATAGCATAAATGCATATAGAGTGTATACAGAAAACGAGAATGATAACAGTATCTCATAACAATTTGTGCGGATTTAATGCTAGGAGGCCTGTGAAGTGCTCAGCACACAGCCTGGCACAGAATGAGTACCCATTAAGTGCTGCTATTATGTAATACCCACTATACAGAAGAGGAAAGTGAAGCCCAGAGTCACTTAACGTGACCTGCCCAAAGCTGCCCGGCTGGGAAGGGGTGGGGCCCAGATGGGAACCCGTGGCAGAGTGACTGGAGAAGCCAGTTTCTAAACCACAACGCTAAGACACATCACAGTGTTTGGGAGAAAGGCAGCGGCAGGAAGCAGAAAGGGGCTCTGGGAATCCAGCGTGCAGGATGGAAGTCCCGCCTCTGGCACAAACGCCACATTCGACCTCAGCAATTCACTTCTGCTCTCAAGGGCTCCGTTTTCTCTTCTATCAACTGGGGGAAGTCATTTCCCCTCCCTGATATGGGACAAAACAGTGTGAGGCATGAGAAAGCACTTTGGCAACTGTGCAATCCAACGCTTTTCCACTCTGAGGTCTGCAGCCCCGTCAGAGGGCCCACCAAACACCAATGGACTAAGAATTCTAGGAAAGCCAACTTTAAGCACCCAAACTTGTAAGGAAAAGAGGTGCACCCCCCCAACCATCTGATCTTTGCACATGCTCCTCCGTCTCCCTCAGCATCAGCATCATCCCCGTGTTGTCTGGTGAGGCTGTCCTCACCCTTCAGGTTCCAGCTCAGAGGTCTCCTCTGCCAAGAAGCCCTTCCTGAACCCCATGCCAGGTCAGGCGTCCAGTGGGCTCCCCCACCTCAGCTCTGCACACTCTAGGTGGTCACTCTTGCAGGATGGGTCTGTCCCCACTAAACTGTGAGCTCCTTGAGGACACAGACTGGGGCCAGCTTAGTCCCTGTTATTTCACCAACACTGTCCAGCACAAGGCCTAGCACAGAGCAGAGGCTCAGAAAATACTAGCTAAACGAAGTAACGGACGGATGGATGAATGAACGGTGGTTCTTCGACCCAGCAAATTACGTTCAATTGCCTTATTCCATGCTCCCACAGGCGACAGCACATAGACCGTCTTTTTAGTAGCTCATATTTTGAGGGGTTACTATGCCCTGTAGGTCTCAGCTTGGTCTGTACCCGTCTAGACAGCCTTCCTGACCCCATGACCCCGGGTCAGGTGGCCTCTCTGAGCTCGGGGGCTCCCACCACCCTGACCACTGCGGGTTAACAATGACGGGTCATGCATGTGTCTCCCAGCGCCCAGCAAAAAGCCAGCACGGTCCGTCTACCGAATGAATGGACCAACAAATACGTGGATGATGGATGAACGTCCACTCTGGTTTCAATTCCCCTCTGGCCAGACTCCCAGGCCACGCCCCCAGACCCCAGACTTCGCCCCCGAGCCACTCCCCCAACTCAGCCTATTTCCCGGAGTAAAACTGGGGCAAACCGATGTCCTAAACGGATGATATACAAGCACCTCTCACTTCCCGGGACGGGAGGGAAACTGAAACACGGACCGGAGTTTTGGAAACCAAGCCGCCTAAGCATGGCCTAGCGAATAACCCTGTCTGGTCTCTCCTCGGCCCCGCCCCTAGCTCCTCGCAGTCCTGGAATGCCCGCCCAAATTACTTCCATCACTCGCACTATTGGCCCGCCTAGACGTCAGTCTCCACAAGCTCTCTCCTTCTATTGGCTGGTATTCTCAACTCCAGCGCTGGCGCCCTACCCCACGCCCGCCCTTACTACTGGGCTACTCGCATGCCCCTCTCCCAGGAACCCTTCCTATTGGCTGCAGCACTTTGCCGGTTCGGGCTGTGATTGGTCGTGAAGAGAAGTCCATCCTCTGAGCAGCCACCTGAGAGGGGTTGGAGAATGGAAAGGTTGGAGGGTCGTGGGGTCAGACTCACGCTGAGCCGGCGGGAGGCAGATATAGGTCTTGAAGAACTCGCTTCGGCGGGCGGCCTCCTTAATGCGGTTGGCAAGCGGCTTGCTGACCTGCCGGATGCCCAGGTATAGCAGCTTCGCCATAGGGAACGCGCCCACCACCATCTTGGCGGTCGCAAGGGGCACGCGCAACCTTGCTGACTGGGCGGGGCACCTCCGCGCTCTCCCTCCTCCCCCGCCCGCTCGTCGCCGTGCGTGCGTGCGTACGTGCGTACGCTGGGGGGGGTACTGCAGGGGCGCTCCCTGACGTCACGGCGTCGACGCTGGCGCCCCGACGCCTGTTCGCTGAATATGCAAATACAGGGCGGAAGTGAGGGGGCCGGAGGGCGGTGTCGTTAAACGGCTGCTCGCGCGAGCGTTGATTGATTGATTCCCACGCCCGCTTCGGTGGCTGTCACCGCGCTTCGTGACGTCACGTACTTAGGTGGCTTCTCCACCCAAAGGAGGCTCTTAATTAGTCCTAATTAGGAGTAGCGAGTCCCAAATACACCTTCCCCTGCAGTTTAGAGCTCTACTTGGGACTAAGAAGAAAGTCTTGTAATCATACAGACCTGGGTTGGGGTCCCAGCTCCGCCGTTTACTTGCTGTGTGATATTAGGCGAGTGACTTAACCTCTCTGATCATCAGTATTCCCATCTCCAAAATGGGAATCATAATAGCACTTACCTTATTGAGTTGTTGTGAGGCTGGCATGCGAATCTTGAACATAAAAACATAGCGAGTGAACTACGTTAAGTGCTTGAAATGATGACAATCACATGGTGAGCGCTCGATAAACAGCCCTGATTACTCTACAGATGTTAGCGTTATTATTGCTAACTCCAGCGTGAGAGTGCATTTCGTCTCCAGAAGCAGCTAATCCGGGTCCCTGACACGCTGAGGCCCAGAGAGGGGGCAGGGGGCCGACCCAAATTCCCGCAGCCCGCAGATGGGCTCATCTGGGCTGATAAAACCGTACCGGTTCTCAGGCGGCCCCACTTCCTCCACTGGGGGCGAGGGTCCCTGGGGAGCTGGCTCAGGGAGGAGTTTGAGGACATATCCCAGACTGTCCTCCCTTACCCAGCGGGGAGCGAAAGCATACAAACAAGGTCAGGGAGAGGTTGAGAGAAATTCCTGGACAGTGGAGTGCTGCTGGGTGAGAGAGGCTAGGAGAGGCAGAGGGAGAGGGAAGACGGGAGCCAAAGAGTGATGCGGAGGAAGAGACAGACGTCAGGACACAGAGCCAGGGGACCCTGGGCTCTCCTCGGCTCCCACTCTGACTCCCTGAGCATCCGGCCGTGATGGACCTGTGTGTCTCCATCTATAATCACGTTACTGACACGTACGAACCCAGATATTCTAAATTCCTAAGAATGCCGAGACCCCATGGAGACATTCCCTCCCCGGGATCCCTTCTGGACTGAAGGGGTGAGGGAGCCAGGCGCCTCTTCAAGGTCGTCGTCTGCTTGGCACCAACCCCCTCCCCATTGTTCAGACTGGACAGCTGAGGCCGGAGGACGAAAAGGACGTGTCCAGAGTTCCAGGCGTAACCGGGATGGAGCTGAGGCTGGGATTTCTTAAGTCCCAGCCTCAAGTCTTCTCCTGATCCCTGGAGGTCTTAGCCTGGGGCCCAAGGATGTGCTGGGGTCCTGAGGTCCCCCGGAAGGGGTTTAGGAAACTTCCACACTTGCACATGACTTTTTTCTGTATAGTTCACTGCTGTTTCCTCGGCTCCTAGAACAGTGCCCTGGCACACAGTAGGTGCTCAATAAATACTTATTGAATGAATGGGAATAAGCATTTGGTGGAGGCATAGCGTGCAGGCTTTCATCTAATTCTCTGAGGGGACTGTGTTCAGAAAAGTTCTGGCCCCCTACGTCTCCATCCCAGTTGCATCGTGGTGGTGAGACAGGGTGGGAAAATTACTAGGTCTCCCGATCCCAGGCCCCCCTTTTTTCTCTCCCCCCAACACCAAAGCCCAGCTTCCTGCATTTCAGGAACCCCCCTCCTGCAAAACCCTTTTCCCCATTAAGTTAATTTTTTTCTCATTCCCCCTCCTCCCTCCTCTTCCTTTCTCTGAGAAGGGCTTCCAGAACCTCTTCTAGGGCAAGAGTGTGTGTGTGCGTGTGTGTGTGTGTGTGTGTGTGTGTGTGTGTGTGTGTGTGTGTGTGTGTGTAGGGGGATCTTCACTTCTCCTCAGGAGCTTGGAGCCTGTTAGACCCGTGGGGAAGAGGGGAGGGAGGTGACCTCCCAGAAGGGGTGAGGCCTGTGCAGAGCTGAGTGCTTCCTCCTGCTCTCCAGCCTCATTATGGAGGGACAGCCATTCCTGGTGACCCCTGAGGGCCAGGGGAGGGAGGAGACGCTATCAGCCAGGGCAGGCAGCCTTGGCCAGTCTGGGGCGTGGGAACAGAGGCAGAGACAGGGATGGGAGAGGAAGCCCAGAATGACCCCAGCGCCAACTCACCGGCTGTGTGACCCTGGGCTAGTCACTTGGCCTCTCTGGTAACCGCCCTGATATAGGGCCTGGGATCATTCCCAGAGGTCCTTCTGGCTCAAGCCTCCTCGTCACCGTTTTCCCAGGATGGGCAAGAGGCTCATGTTACATAATCCCATGGGCCCCTGTGCTACTTGCATCATAATATTCCTTCAAAATACATCCCATGCTCACTGCTCACTCCACCGCCCACCCCAGTCCAGCTGCCAGCATCTCCCACGGGACCACGCAGTCATCCTCACGGGTCCCAGCTTCTGCCCTTGCTTCCTGTATTCTGTGCCCCACTCAGCAGCCAGCCTCTGCTAACAGCCCTCTCGTGGCTCCCATTTATCTCAGAGTACAAGGCAGAGTCCTCACCAGGACTTACGAGGCCCCGAAAGATCGCCTCTGTCCCTCTCCAGTCCCATCTCCCACCCCGTTGCCCACCCTCTGTTCCAGCCACACGGCTGTAGTTGCTGTCCCTCCGAATTCAGATGCTCTCTTATACCAGGGCTTTGCATTGCTGTTCCCTCTGTCTGCAATGCTGTTCCCCTGACCAGGGGGCTAGGCAGACAGTGGGTACAAATAAATCTCTGTTGGGGGGGCTGGCCCAGTGGCGTAGTGGTTAAGTTCATGCACTCCACTTCGGCAGCCCGGGGTTCACAGGTTCGGATCCCGGGCGTGGACCTAGACACCACTCATCAAGCCATGCTGTGGCGGCGTCCCATATAAAGTGGAGGAAGATGGGCACAGATGTTAGCCCAGGGCCAGTCTTCCTCCGCAAAAAGAAGAGGATTGGCAGCGGATGTTAGCTCAGGGCTGATCTTCCTCAAAAAATGAATGAATGAATGAATGAATAATAAATAAATAAATCTCTGTTGAATGAAGTAATAAATATCCTTCCTCTTGTCCTGAGACCCCTTCCTGAGTCTGCCCAGCTCACTCCTCCTCGTCTGCCCTGGTTGCTCTTCACGTGGGTTCTGACACTCTCCCACTTCTTCCTCAGTCCTGACTTGGAGGATGCTGTTTATCTAGAAAGTAAGAATGACTCTGTCATGCTGTCTCTGCCTATATGACCGGAAACTTCCCAAGGGCAAAAGTGATCACTCCACACTCAGTGAATTTCTCCTTCCACTTTCCCCTTGAGTCACAGACTCTCACCCACTTGTTGGAAATAATCCTAACTTTTTTCTCTTTTTGTCTTTACCTCCTGGAAACGAAATATGTGACTTAATTTACTGGTCTCCTCTTCCAGGAAGCCCTCCCTGACTTCCAGACTGGGTCAGATGCCCATTTGGGTTCCTTCAGTCCCTGGGCTCCCCTGTCTGAGCCCTGCCCACTCTGGGTCACCACTGTCCGGGGACAGATCTGTCTCCCTCATTGGAGTCCGTGAGGGCAGACCCAGGGCTGTCATTGTCACCACTGTGTCACCAGCATCACCCAGCACAGTGCTGGGCACAGTTCAACAGAATTGTTAGGGGGTCATGGTGGAGGATGATGGTTGACCAGTGACACACCAACCTCACTGTTTTCCTATTTTTTTTATATTCTAGTGAATATTAACACAGCCTTATTTACATACAATTTGCATACACCAGACCAAAACGGAAGGGGGTGTGAGATGAGATTTGAGGAGGGGGCTCTGCATGATTTGAGGTTCACTGTGCCGGCGGGAGTATCTTCAGCTGCACCTGGTCCCCCCGCCTGGGCGGAGCTGCCGCCCAGCCGGCTGCCAGGGCCTTGGCCACGCTGTTCCTCTTGGAAGTGAGCGGGGTCTCCAGGGTGAGGGAGGCGTTGGCCATCTCCTGGGGCTTGTCGCTGGCCAGGAAGCGGAGCAGGTTGTGCAGGGCCTTGGCCACGTCGCCGCGAGCGCCCTCGTTGACGAGGCAGTAGAGGATGGGGTCCGCCACACAGTTGAGGCTGGTGAAGGCCAGCGAGCTGTGGTACGCTGAGAAGATACGCTCCTCGAAGCCACAGTCCCAGGGGCGGCCCAGGTAGACGGCGCTGCGCGAGAGCAGGAGCACGTGGTAGGGCGCGAAGCAGACCAGCACGATGGCAATGAGGCTGAGCGCCAGCCGCTTGATCTTGGCCTTCTCCTGGCGCTCCGTGGACACGCTGCCCCGCACGGCCCGCAGGATGCCCCGGTAGCACAGCAACATGAGGGCCCAGGGGAAGAGGAAGCCTACGAAGACCCGGTAGAGGTTCATCCAGGCCACCCAGCCCTCCATGGGGAACTTCTCAAAGCAGAAGGTGTGGTTGTAACGGTCACGGAAGAGCTCGTCGTGGAACAGGGGCGCCGAGTTGGCGCCCAGCTCCGTGGCCCAGACCACGGAGCTCACGGCCACGGCCGTCTTGACCCGGCGCAGGCGGGCGAACCGCAGTGGGTGGGCCACGGCCAGGTAGCGGTCCACGGAGATGCAGCACAGGAAGGCGATGCTGATGTAGATGTTGGTGTAGAAGATGAACCCAAAGAGCTTGCAGGAGCCAGGCCCGTGGATCCAGTTGTCGTGGTGCAGGAAATAGTCGACCCACAGAGGCAGCGTGCAGATGTAGAGCAGGTCGGCGATGCTGAGGTTCATCAGGTACACGCCCAGCTCGTTGCGCTGCCGCACCTGGCGGTAGGCAGCCCACAGGGCCAGGCAGTTGGTAGGCAGCCCCACGCCAATGACGAAGATGTACAGGGACGGCGGGAAGAGGTGGTCCACGCGGGAGTCCACGTGGCAGCCCTCCCACGTGCGGTTGCCCATCCTCGGCACTGGGGCTTTCGAGGCGCTTCCCCCGGCCCACAGGGGCTGTGGGGCCACAGGGGGCGGGAGGCCATTGGGCCCCCTGAGCCCCCTCCTGGGAGGCTCAGGGGAACATGGTGGCAGGCAGTCCGAGGGGAAGAGATGAGACTGATTGCGAATCGTGGGCCAGGCTGGGCAGGAAGATAGAGCTTCAGAGGCAAAAGTTGGAGGAGGGATAGAATGACGACAGGAGGGAGGTCTGGGGGATGGCAGGATTAAGAAAGAGCTTTGTCAAGGAGGCGTTTATAGATGCAAACCGAGCGTAAATGAGGGAGTATTGGGGTAACACAAAAATTGGCCGAGGGGAGTGTTTATAGAGGAGGTTGAAGGCATCAGTGGGCAGTGGTGAAAGGGAGATATTTGTAAAGCGTATAGGAAGGAAGTGTGGCCATGCTGAAGTAATGATGGGGTGGAATGTTTTAGAAGACACAGGAAATATATGGAGTAGTGTGGAGATAAGACAGATTAGAGTTAGGAAGTGTTGAAAAGACCAGACAAGGTGGGCGGGGGTGCTGGTATCTCCTAGGACCACAATAAGAAATAGGGAAATAAGTAAGGTAACTGATGAGAAGAAGATCACGGAAAAGGAAGTGTCCTGTCGGGGGTGGACAGAGAGGAAGGGCTCAGTCTGGGGATGTGGGAAGGGGATGTTTAAGAAACAGGAAGGAGGTGAGTCAGGGCTAGAGGAAGGAGAGGATGGAGGGGGGTTTGAAAGGGGCAGGGGAGGGGCTCCGGCTTGGTCCTGGTGGGGCTCAGCAGTTGAAAGATTTGGCCACACCTCACAGCTCGAAGCTGACTTGGCAGTGCCTGCGGGGAGAGAGGAAGGTGGTGAGAGAGTCATGGACTGCTCCCTTCTCCCCACACCCCTCGCCTGAGTTGGACTCTGTGGGCTGCAGAGGGTAGACACCCTGGTGATGCATAACTGAGCCCCATTCTAAGCAACAGATCTCTGAAACCACAGGTTTGAGGTGCCAGATATATATTTTCCCTAATAGAGGTTAAAATAAAGACTCAACTCAGATCTTAGAACTTGCTTCCGGAAACCATGTAAAATTGGTACAAATATCATATCATGCTTTGGGAACTGCTAAACTAGTCTAACCCTATCATTTCACAGACAGGGAGGCTGGGTCACTCCCCTCAAGGAGGCACAGCAAGGCAGTGACAGAACCAAGGCTGGGACCAGCCTCCCACTCCTAAACCAGGACGCCCCATTCTTGACAATGATGATGATGGTGGTGATAACAGCTAAAGTTTATTGAGCCTTACTACATAGCATAGCAGACTCTGTTCTAAGCACTTTTACGGGTATCAATTCATTAAAATTTCAAGACCCTCACAAGGAAAGTACAGTTATTCCCCCTACTTGACAAACTGAGGCACACAGCGGTTCGGAGACCTGTCCAAGGTCCTGATGACAGAAGACGGGAAATCTCGGCTCTCGCCCCTTTTTCTCCAGCCTGTGCCTCTGTTTCCACCCAAGAACAAGTGGACAGAGAAGGACCCTGGGCTGACAGTGGGGGTGGGAACCCTAGCTGCAGAGGGCGGGGTGGGGGAGAGGTGAGAGGAGGAGCTGCGGACTCACTCCATCAAGGTCGGGGAGCAAGGGGAAGCCCTGGGATCAGAGCCTTCCGTTCCCTCCCTCAGGCACCGCTCCCTTCATCGCGTCTTCCCACTCCCCTCCAGCTTTCCTGAGTGAGAACCTGGAGGCTGTCACCCCCTTGGTCCTGGGAAGACCTGCGTGCACAGGGCAAAGGACAGTCATGGACCAAGGCCCTGACTATCGTCAGCCCCAGAGGAAGGGGAGCAAAGTCCTGAATCAGAGGCATTTTCGGAAGCCACTCCATCCAGGGGTTTGCACAGATTTCGTTTTTTAGGCTGTGAAAACTTAAACCACAAGATCTTAACTGGGAACCCCATCTAAGACAGCAAAAAGGGGAAGCTGCTGTGGGCTCTAGATGAGACGAGGTGGGGGGAGGGAGGCCACCTCTGAAGAATCCCCAGGACACACTTTGAAAACCACTGGTTGAGTGGATTGGACAGATGAGGAAACTGAGGCCCAGAGAGGGGAAGGGATGAGCCCCAAGTCACACAGCAGGTCCTCGGGGACCTCCCCGATGCCTGAGCATCCTTCCATGTGAAAGTCCTCTTGGTTCTGCTTACCTACACAATAAATCCTGAATCCGCGCAGGTCTCCCTGAAACCCCTGGCCCTGCCTGCTCTGTGCCACCATCACCGCTTGCTCAGACTGTTGCAGTAGCCTCCCTACTGCTTTCCTGGCTGCCGTTCTGGCTTCCTTCAACTCGCTTCCCACGTGGCAGGCAGGAAGGTCTTTCTAACACGGAAATCATACCCTCCACCTGGACGGTTCTTCCTTCAGATCTTCAGGTTAGCTCCCTCACCTCCTTCACCTCCTCACAGAGGCCCTCCCTCCCCAGAGTCCCGCCCACCCACTCCCAGGGCTCGCTCCTCACCTTGTATCTTGTTTTTGTCTGTCTGTCTGTCTAGAGGGACGTTCCAGGAGGGCAGGGACCTCGTGTTCACTGCTGCATCCCCGGCATACAGTAGGCACTCAATAAATGACTGTGGACTGAAGGAACATGCGTTGGTCAGCCCATCCCCCAATGCAGGCCCCCTCTCCCCTTGAGGCAGCGGCACCCCCCACTTGAGGCTCAAACCAGTCCCTGCGGGGTCCCAGAGAAAAAGCGAGAATGGCAAGATCTATCCGCTACATAATTGACTCTGAAAGGTCAGGGCTGAGGCCTGCTTAGTAAGTCCTACCCCCTGTGGGGTCCTCAGTGACAGAGCGGCTGCCCCCACCCCAGACACACAGACAGAGGCTCCTGGACCCTGGGGAGCTGGGATGGAGGGAGCTTGCTCTTTGCTGGAACAGTACAATCCAGTGCCTCCCTTCGAATCAAACCCCCCCACCCAGACCAACTCACTCAAAACACCTCTCTCTGCCCCTCAGTCTCCCCTTCTCTCTGCCCCTCGGTCTCCTCCTCTCTCTGCCCTTGGTCTCCCCTTCCTCCTGTAACCGTGAGGGAATTAATTCTCTTTCAGGAGCCCCAGTTCCCCCTTCTGTATAGAGGGGGGCACAACTTTTATACTGGTCACATCACAGATATGAAAACCCTTGGTGGAACATGATGTCATCTATAAAATGTGCAGTATTTGAACAATTGTCATTGTTCCACAGGCATGGGAGGGCTGAGGCCAGAAGTGAACCAGGTCATAGTGGGAGGAGGCACCGAGAGCTGGGAGCTCCCTGTGCCTCCTCCCCCGCCAGACCCTCTGGGTTCAGCTAAGGCTGGAGTGGCTACACAGGCAGCAGACTTATGCACACAGAGGAAATACACTTCCCATTGCTAATTTCCTCCAGGGGGAACCAGTTGGGCGCTCACCCCTCCCTCCTCCTGTCCCTCCTCCTCAACCCACCTACTTCCTAGGGGTGCTGGGCATGGGGGGACACTCAGACAGCCCTCTCTTCTCCCCCACCTAAGTTCTGCCGACCCCCAAAAGACGGTCCAGAACAGCAGACTCTTAGAATTCCACAACGCAACGGGGAATTGCGAGGCCCATGGGCGACAATGGGGGGCGCAAGGCTATTTCTGACCCGTTCCAGGTACAGATGGGGAAACTGAGGCCCAGAGAGGCAAGGCAGTTGTCTTAGTCACGTGATGTGTCAAGACAGGCCAGACCTCCTGTGTTCTTAACCGAAGAACTTCCCCCTCCCTGAATGGTTTCTCTCCTCACACCCTGTCCTCCTGTAATTTTTCTCAGGTCTTTCTGGGGTCCCCGGCTCCCTTGGAGAATCTGCTGAAAGATACACGGACTTTCTCACCACGAAAAAGCAAGTGACCTCGGTGTCTTGCATGCCGCTCCATCGCCTGACCCCCTGGCCCGGACCCCCCAGGGTCAAGACCCTCTTGAGTTGGGATCTAAGTTGCCTCCCTTTATCAGGCTTTGTTGGGGAGTCAACCCCCAAATCTCACAGCCCCCCCAAGAAGCCCCCACCCCGTCCCACAGACTCCCCTCTTCAGGCCCCGCTGGCCTGTCCAGAGGGGCTGGGAAGAGAGATAAGCCCGTCTGTGCAGCAATAGTGGGGGGACGGGAAGGACTGGTCAGACCACAACCCCAACTTTATGCCTCAGCTGCTCAGGCCAGATAAGTCCCTGCGCCCCGCCAGCCACCCCGAAATCCAGCAAGGCTGAAGGACTCAGTGGGGGTGGATTGAGAGAGGGAGAGGGAGAGGTGAAGCAGCCCCCCACATCCCCCACCACCCTCGGCTCACTCACCAGCCTCGTCCCAGAAGCACCAGGCTGCCTCTCCCCTACTTCCCTCCTCTGCGGGCTCCTGCTTCCCCCCTCCCCTAACAGCCCCAGGGGACCGGCCAGCTCCGGTCTGCTCATTAGGGGACGAAATGTGATCACCGCGCCTCGCTCCCCACCTGGTGCCCTGGCGGCTGGCGGAAACCAGGGGGCAGTCAGGCCACGCTGACCACACTTCTGGGCCTCAGTTTCCCCATTTCCACCAAACAGGTCCCCATCCCCCCACACACCCACGCCACCCGGAAAGGACACCAAAGTCCTCCGACTCTACCCCGCTGATGTTCTAGATTCTACCGTTCTCAAATCCTCGGGTTCTATTGTTAGTCCAGTTCATGGTTTACTGTTCTATTCTTATAACATTCGAGAGCTTTACCTCCCTTCCATTCTATTATTATTATCACCGCAGCTTCCCATGCCCTTACTCTTCTAAGTTTCCAATATTCCAAGAGTCTCACATTCCAAGAATCTGGAGTCCTATTGTTAGAACGCTCTATGATCTTTTTTAACGTTCTACGACTTTCATAATCTGTTATTAAATGCTCAGTGACTATTATCTTTGCCCAGCAAACACGAATACGTATTTCCCTTTTCTTTTTTACAGAAATGGGTGAGTACTCTATAGACGGTGGACCTCACTTCCTTTTTTCCCCCTTATCTGTTTTTTAACATTCCAGCAGCCTAAAGTTCTAAGAGTCTGCAGAATTCTAAGACATTAAGGATTCACAGGGGATGGGGGGGGGCGGTTAGAAACCACTTCCATCTACCCCCTAAATTCTCACCGCATGGGAGTGGGGTACACTAGGAGCGCAGGCTGCCTCCTTACCCCTTGCCCAGCAAGGCTTGCCACATCCCTCCCGCTCCCTCACACCAGCTGAGTTATTATTTGTCTAGACACAAACCAAATTATAGGCCCCATCCCGAGGGAGCAGTGGGCTTCTTGGGGAGGGTCAGGAGACAGAGCAGGCGGGAGTTAATCCCTGCCCCCCCACTGCCCCTCCCCTCTGCCCTCCTTCTCTGAAAGCCCGCCCCTTCCACCCAAACCAACTCTTGTCCTCTCACTCCCCACCACCCTGGTTTTAGAAATATTTTCTCTTCTCTGCTTCTGAAACATTCCCTTCTGGATTCCAGCCATCCATACTCACCCTG